TTAAGTTACTAGCAATAATATAGTGACACTATAAGGAGAAATGCATTTTCCAAGCTCACTTGTTTTACTGGAATAATATTACTGAATCATACTTAGTGGTGTATGTTATACAGTTCATCTTTTCAGAGGCTGAATAAGTAAAATCAAATTGGCTAAGGTGATGTCTTTGCATTAGTCCTATTCCCATAACTAAGGCACTTAGTTCCACTAAAATCAATAGACTTGAGAGTGTGGAAGTGTAGAAGTAAAAGGCAAGCATAATAACTAGTCTAAATCCTATGTTGGCAAATAGATATGTAATTCTGTCACATGTATCTGCATGGCTGATTCTTTATTTGCATATTTTCAAAGGTTTGATCTACAAATGGATTTTAATTTGAGTACTTTTGCTTGAACAGCCTTTTGGGAGTGGGGGCAGGTCACGCATAATCAACGAGGAAAACAGACTGATGGAAGATGTATGTGGTGAATCTGAGCTCTTCTATGAAAAGAAATGCAATTATCATTGTTATTATTATTTATTTGTACTGGTTAATGGCCTCACTAGATTTTGGGCATTCTACAAGTGCAGAGATTAAGTGGTAGTTTCCAATCTTCAAAACTTAGTCTCTTAAACAATTGACTAGTGGTATGTGGGAACAGTCATTTACCTGATCCTTACAGTGAGTAAGCGAGAGATGATGCAACTTGAGCAAGGGCAAGTAGACAACTTATTGTGGCAGACTCTGAAGGAGACCTCTGATGCACAGAATCCCAGGCCAGTGCCTTAACCACAAAACCCTCCATCTTGCTGCACAAGAGCCAGATTCAGACCTGCCCTAAGGCTCTGACTCAGTAAAACTTCCCTAGCCAGCTAAAAATATTTAAGCACATGATTGAATCCAATTGACTTGTATGGGACCAAAGAGCTCTGGCGATATTGGGCTTAAGTACGTGCAACTTCCAAAGAAGTCAAAAGGCCTGGTGCCTGTATATGATACACAAGAATTTAATCCCTTTCCTGGACAAGTAGCATTTAAGGCAGGATATCTGCTGCGTCTTTGTAAGGAAAAAAACAAACATACCTTTCAAAATATAATTTGAAATGTGATTAAAAATTTCAAGTATCTTCTTGGAGAAAAACATAAACTCATGCTTTAAGGTCACTTACCTTTTTTTCCTAACCTGAAAGGAAAGAAAGAACCAAAAAAGGAGGGGTAATACATAGATCAGGGTGCTGGTAACTAGGGTGGCCATCATAGAGGACATTCTGGTTTTCTCTCTTCAAGAGAAAAATAGAGGACATAAAAGTGTCCGGTTTCATATCAATAGAGGACAGAGGACAACTGGACTGTCCTCTGTGATGGTCTCTTTGATACCCTACAGTGGTAACAAATGTCACTGTATATAACATTTGCTCTCCTATTAAAATCTCTTTACATAAAATTGACCAGCAATATCAGTCCAGGTGGGAGTGGATATCTGTCTATACTTTGAAAATCACCATCTGTGTTGCCCATCTTGTTATCATCAGCAGGGAAGCTGAGAGCTGAAAGCTGATTTATTTCTTAATGTGATCCATACAGGTCAAGGTTTAATCACATTGTTTCCCAAAGTGATGAAGAGTTTACAGCCACTAACCGAAGAGTGGATAAAATCCTGGGACCACAGAAGTTAAAGTCAATCTCCCATTTAATGGAGCTAAGATTTTGCCCATGATCTATTCTATGGGCAAAATGCAAAGTAAAACACCTAATCACAGACCAGTATCAAACCAGGCATCCCTGCACAGTATTACTACCAAGGTCTCCTTCTTTACCTGGGATGGCCATCTCCAGAGATTACTAATTTAATTATATTCATCTCTCAAAACCTAGGAGATTTGAAAATGAAATGTCTACTCTGATGTAGAGGGCCAGAATCAATAGCCATTAAGTGAATGAGGACATTTGGAGTACGTGAGTGTCTAAGCTACTCCACTCCATCAACAGCGCAGTTCATTTGGATAATACTTAGGAGCTAAGAGACAGGCAGAATCATTCATCATCCCAATACATCTTGGGTGACCACAAAACTGACACAGACAGTCCACATCCTCAGGTGGCTTGTAAATGGAGTTTGCCTGTGGAAAGAGTGAGCAGAGCTGAGGATCTGGCTCACTGATCTGTGCAGATGAACACAAGATGCAGTGAAGAAGTATGAAACAGCAAAATAATGCTTTAGCTGTTCCTGAAAAGATGTTTTTTGCCCATCTATCTCCACTATAGTGAAAATACTGTTGCTTTGTGGGACACAATGAAGCTAAGGTTCCAACGTAGCAGCTTCAACTGCAGTATTAATTGGGAATGTGTGGGATAATTCTGTAGAAATGTCTCCGCTACCTATTTCCCCAAACCTTAGGGTTTCATACTAAACAGAACAAATCACATCCTTAGCAATTCTGCTCTGCTTTGTACAGCTGCATGCTGCAGGTGGTGCCCTAAAAATATGTTTGTTTATTTTGCATCACTGCAGGCTGCAAAGCTGCACTTAAAAATGAAATAGATTCCTCCCTCTCCCCCTTCCCTGCTCTCCCAATCCCTTAAACATGATTGAAGGCAGGTGATGAATAACTGAGAACAAGTGATAACATTTAGGCTTGGCATGAAAGGATCCAAACCAGAATTGCTGGTTAAAGCACTGAAGAAAAACTGACAAACACAGTGTCTGGCTTTGAGATTTTTCATACTGTTTGATTCCAGAGAGGCAAGCCAAGCATGGCAAATTCACCTGAAATCTCCGTAATATGCCGGTGAAATCGTTACAATTGTTTCAAAATTGACAACTGTAAGTATAAAACACAATCAGTCAACAACAGAGCAGAAATCAATACAAAAAGGTGAAGATGACGACAGGGTAAACATAAATTGGCATAAAGTGACTATTGTAAGTATTTCTAATGTACTTGAATATCACAGTAAATAAGCACCAGATTAGACAAATTAGATCAGACCTCATTCTATCCTGGTACGTCCCTGATAACTGTCAAGGCTATATGCTTTCAGTTGCTCAGGATATTGCAAACATTACTCAGATTTTTTTTTGTTGCTCCTTTAAAGTTACCTGCTGTACACTAGGACCTAGGTCTTGCTGTTTGTTTATATGGCATGAAATTCTTTCCTCTGCAGAGCTCAGTATACAGTCCATGCATTGCTTAAATCTCCTGCCCCCAGTCTTCAAAGTGGATCTTATGTGGGATGTTAGTGATGTACAGGATTTAGACTGCCATCTGCATAGAGATGAACCTCTTATCTTCTGAACCTTTAACATTCAGGGTATTTGGGGGTTTTCTTTTAAAGGAAAAGAAGCATTTTATGAAAGAGAACTCTTTGAACTAGCATCACTATTGATTTGCCCTAAATTAGCAGCAGCTCTTATAAATTTCACAACATAACATTATTTGGCTTGCTGTCACCAGGACACGTCTCAGTAATCCTTAGGAAGTGCTTAAGAGAGAGATCTTTTCTTGGGAACTTTGAGTTCTGTGGAGCTTGAATGGTGCATCACTATAACCAAGTTTCCACTGCACAACTCTAAGCTGCTTCTAGTTACCAGGAGTACAACTACAGGTCTCTCACCTCTGTTAATCCATATTATATTTCAAGTACACTTTTAACTAAATATTTAAAGAAGAAAGGTCACACATGCACAGCTCAAACTTCTTTGTCTGGATGCTTTATGAGCCTTGTAAAAAAACTGCATACACTCAGTAAGTCATTTTCCAAGTCTGATAAAAGCTGGTTCTAATTAGAATTATTTTCTTTCTTCTCAGAGACTTTTTATCAGCAGGCAGTAAACAAGAAGCAGCAAAGCCAACATCCCTAACAGCGCTAAGATCAACAATCATGTCATAGTGGCCAGAAAATATAAGGAAATCAAAGTTAAAACAAGTAACCAATTTATACATGATGATTTATTACTTTACAGTTACAATGCAAGATTCACTTAAGTGCCCATAAAAGAGAATTGAAAGGAAAGATTAATTTCTTTCCTCCAACCAGGGATAGGTCTGAGCCAAGGCTTGGAGATTAGGTTGTTGAAAATAGAAAAAAAGTCTTCTCTTTTAACATTGTGTTGCATGCCACCCGCTAGTACCAGTAGTTCCTCTGTTACCTAACGCATTTATCATTACTGAGACTCTACGTCCATGTTTCTATTACTGAAACTGTATTCACATTTAGAACCCTCCTTATGATGTAATGAAAATGTTTAAACAATAGACTATTGTATAGTCCAATTGGATGGTTTGGAAAACTCACTACATATTTATTATCTCTCTTTTTACCTATAATACATCCATAGTAACATGAATAGCAAGAAGAGATGCAACTAGTCTGGGTTACATAATGCTGAGATCTCTGATACTTTGTCATTTTGTACTGTTTCCTTGGCATGAAAAGGAAGGCCCTATTTAGAAATACAGCTGTGTTCACACACTGACATCACAAAACTAGTTGATGTACTGTGCATCCTGTTTCTCTTAATGGCAACGACACCTGTATCGAAATGCAGTTTTCTTTGCTCATAACTTATTCTTATCCATAAAACTAAGTTAGAAAAATAAGTCTAAATCAACATTAGATATTAGCCTGAGCTATATAATTTGAGACTGAATACTTGTGACGACTTTGGCCAAGAATATTACTTGTTTATTTTTACTGTTTTAGGTTACGCTCTTCATACCAGAAAATGATGTTAGGGGTAGAGGTAGAGTTTTGCCCATTTTAGGAAAATAATTTCTGATTGGCCAGTTGGGTCATAAGAGAATCATGCTAATTAGTCTGTGGTTTGTGCTGAAAATTGAGTCCCTTGTTGCTATTTGAAAGTAATCAGCATAAAGCATTTTGTGACATGACTGCCTGAAAGATGCTAGAAAATAAATGCAATTGTACTCTATTATATTGGATTGTATTCCAAAAATGAACTGTAAGAAAGACTTGCAGAAATGAGCACTGGTAGAGAAGACAACTGCGAACACTTACTGCAAGGAAGATCTGAAAGGAACTGTGAGCCACTTCTATGTACTGGTATTCAAGCAAACACCCTGAGACAGTGATGTAGCGGTGATCTTCCGGTGCCCAATCTGGGGCTGGGGTTACTGATGTCACTGTGCAGCCTGGCCCATTTTCCATCCACCAGGAGCGGTGCATTGAGATATTAAAGGTCAGAATGAGATCTGTTTCCTGCAAAAGAGAAAAGGAAGATTATAATTTTGGAATGGTACTTGTGTGTCAGTGCTAATATCACTTCAAGCTGCTCACATAGATATCACACAGCAGGCATAAAGAAAATTACATCACAAAATTATTGGAGAAATCTTATCCCCTGTGGCAAGCCTGAGTACCTGGGGCTTGGCCTGTAGAGGTGGGTTGAATGGGGGTGGGGGAAAGTAATCCTTCAACCCAGGCTCTGTTCCAGGCAGTAACTGTGGCCTGGGGCTGTCATAGGCCAGTTACTGCTGTGCCTACACTGCAGTGACGGATGGATGTGCATAACAGAAGATCCACCCTCTCCATCCTGACTCCTTGTAGTTTGTTCCTGCCCTAATCCTCCAAGCCCTGCAAAAGCACAGTAGAAAATCCCCAGGAGCTGGGCTTCATGGAAGTGGTGGAGGAGTATGGACTTGTTGCAAGAACAATAAAATCTGTCTAATTATCATTAGTCAGCCATTTTCTGTGAGAAATATTTTACAACACATACTAAGACTCCATAAATAATTATTTTTGCCATTTTTAATGAAGAAACACTATAATTTTGACTGGAAACAGTACCCACACTGTCTTGCTCTATGAGAATTTTGCACATTCATGAGCTTTCAATTTACCTAGTTTTTCCCCCTAATATAGCTTTCACTCTCCTGGTCAGTGCCATGATTCAATGGGCCTCAAACCTTATTACTATTGCTGTTAATGCTAAGTCATGAGCTGGGATTAGGCCTGCCAGCAGTGGCCCATGTGACTTAATGTGACCACTGCTGAGAGAGCTTCACACATTACATTCACTTGCTGGCTGACAGCTTACTAAACTATTAATTCAGTAACAATTAAAATGACAAATTACCATGAGGAAATTCAATTTACTACGTGTATAGCTTGTATTAGGTTTTACTCCAGGTATGTACAGGCCTAACATTTATATCAAACTAACCAGGGTTAGGTCTATCTAAATGCCCACTCATGCAGGATTTTGGAGGGTTTAATTTGGCCAAAAAATGGTGCACCAATCTAAGTTAGTTCACCTAAAGAAGTGAATCTAGGAAGGGGTTAACCCAGTCTCTTGAATGCCTGCATCATTCGCCCCAGCCCTGGAGCTGAGCTAATACCAACCCCAGTCCCTAACCAGACTATTGTTAGCCCCCTGACTCTCCCATGACCAGGCAACACCCCTGCAAACCCCATCTTCATACCCACCATTTCTCTCTGTATCTGCCAACTTTCCATGAGCCTGCCAGCCCTACCAATCCCACCATCTCCTCCTCCCACCCAGAGTTATACCTTGGGCTGCCTGTGCCAGTCCTGCCAGTGGTGAACAGCTGCACGTGCCACCCCCAGGAGCAGCGAATGGCTGTATGTGCTGCTTCTGGTCTAGGTTTAAGCAGCTTAAGGTGAGCTTCCTAAACCTAGACTGGGTGAAGCATATGCTAGTTCACATCCCCAGTGACCAACAAATAAAACCAGAGTGCCTACCTATCCCAGTGATAAATTAACTAGATTTCATTGTACTCCTACAAATCCAAACCTGTCCAACTCTGCAGGAGGACCACATCAGTTCCACTTTGTATGAGAGTCTCTTCAATTGTGAACAAGTTGGGGGAGGGATAGGATTTGCCTTTGTTATATGTCATTATAGATTTTCTAGATTCCACTTCTAAATTCCTTTGTGTTTCACAGTCTTAGCCTTTTAACTTGGCAAAGCAAATTGCTTGCAGAGAGGTTTTTTTTGCAAGTAAGTAGTTTTTATCTATTGCCTTGTCCAAAGAGTATAGGGCCTAGTTAGATGGGAAAATAGTCTACAAATCCCTCACAGCCAGGACACAGTAGCTTGCTCAAAGGGTATTGAGTCAGTTATGCTTTTCCTTAAGGTTATATTTATAAATAGTTTATAAGAGGTTAATAAATGATTAATACATATCATAAGCATATTATGGACATGATTGATACATACTAAGAGCTGGTTGCATGCATATCAGTCAAAAGTGTGAAAGCCAGTTAGAAGTAATCTGTTAGAAGCCTGGACTCCATAACAACCTGTGGCATTAACCCTTTATAAACTATTGATAAAAGTAACCTCATTGTAAAAATGTGACCATCTATTTAAATCAGCATATAGGCTCAGTCATGCAAGTAAAAATTCCCTGTGAGAAATGTCTTTTCAGAACCAAACTCTCCCGTATGTTGCCATGACTAACCGACATTTTTCAGACTATAGATAATATTAATAATTAAGAACCTCATAAAGATTTCAGAGTGTAACTATTTAACAAGGTTTACCATAGTGATCTGAATATAACTATTCACAGATACACATATGAATTTTCCCATGTCCTGAAGAATATACATTTTTCAATTTAAATGATAGGCTGTCACTTTTTGCATTAACTCAACCAAAGCTAATTCTATCCAGAAGATTTTTGTATAATTTTATGATTGATATATAACTCCAGGATTGTATGTGGCACCATACTGATTAATGTATTTAAAAAAATCAGTCCTGCCCCAGATGCAGTGATGTTACCTCTGTGTTTGTCTTTTAAAATCAATTACTAGTGTGCACTCACTCAACCAACTACCACATGGCAGGACTAGCTGTATATGGTTTTGTAGTCAATAAAAAGAAAATCATACAATCCCATAAACCTCTGAACATGTAAACATTCACCATTATGAATAGCGCTTCATCAGTATGAAGTGAATGGTACTACTCATAGTAGTAAGTTCTAATAGTTAAGTGTGAATGATCAGATCACCATGTGAGCATATGCACAAAGAGCCCAGACCTACCAGAACAAGATGCTTTCAGGTCTGGTGACCTGTCTCTAAGTGCTGCAGTTTAATATGACAAGCATCGTAAGACAACCTTTGAATTACTAAAAGCAGCCAAACAAAGAGTGTAACTTAGGATCAAAATCAAGTGCAAGCAGGTAGAATGAGGATGGCATACAGAAAAAGAGATGTGCTGAACAAAGTCACACTTCTGACCACAACCTAAGTTTATACAAAATTGAAAATTTAGTGTGTGGGGAATATTTTGGCATAGATACAAGGGGGTTGAAGTGCACAACTTTTTCAAACAGATACACAATACTAATATTTTCTACAAAATGAAAACATTTTTTTTCACAATTTGTCCCAGATAGTCCCAATGCTCTAAAACAATGTCCAGAATGATGAATACTCTCTTTGTGGCTTGAATTTCTGGTTGAGGGACACATGTTGATGACCTTTTCCTCACAAGAAAAATGGAAACACATTATCTAAAAATTTGCTGTTGGGTCTGATACTCTTCTCAAATGCACTGATATAATTCTAGAGTGATATATATATATAAGACGTCCAGCAAAAAATGGAAGCAGCTTAGGTAGACTAATGCAACATTTCTGTTCACCAGTCCTGGGCTGAACCAGTGGCTGGGGCGGTCCAGCAGGCATAGCTGGGGGGCTATTTGTATTATGGTAGCCTTCTGGCTCCAGTGGTGCAGCACAGCTCTCTGGCCTCCAGTTCCATATGTGCCATACCTGCATGAGGGCTCTCAAAACAGCCTGATGTTTCTCAGAGCACAGCCTTCCCCTCCACCTGCCCTATGGGATCTTCTCTTCACTGGAAGCAGGGACATTTAGACCCCTTTTTGGTACACAGGCCTCTTGTAAAATGCCTGGAATATGGCTGAGAACATCCTAGAGTGTCTTAATCTAGTGGTATTCTAATAATATGATTGAGATCAAAATTTACCACCTTTTTGTGAGAAGACCCTTCCCCTTAAAATCATCCTATTTAATGAGGGAAAATTGTAACCTCTCTATTTTTTTTAATCAAAGCATCTGGAAGAATGAATAGGATAAATTGTTTGGTGTTATGTTATTGTTTGCAGCACAGTTACAAGTATCATAATTGAGTAAAAATGCTTAGCAAAATAGAAATGAGTGGACCAAATGGCCTCCTTCAAGAAAAAAAGTGCATTTGGCCACCAAATACTTTTTTTAAGTTTCTTTAAAATGGATCAGGACTAGCTGGACACAGAGGAACATAATCCTACTGAGTATATCCCCACTCATTTCAATGGACTTGTGTTTGATTACAAACAGCTTTGCTTTTCCAAAGACTTATGAATGAGAAGTGGAAGTAAATTTAAAAAATGCATAGACAATATAATTATACATTAACTTCTGCATAGTCAAATATGCAAATAAACCACTGCATGTTCCAGCAATATTCCCTCCCTGAAAATATCCCCAGAAGATTCACAAATTCAAGATTTTATTATGCAAAATATTTTTTTTTCAAAATTATAATTTTTAGTTGCCTTTTTAGTTGAAAGCTGTGATTCATAAAACACAAAAGTGCTCTAGTCAAAAATAGCTTTTTGGGGGCTCATAGTAGAAAGAAAAATCTTGAGTTAATGTGCAGTGCAAAAGTGGGCGTTAACAGATCTATTTCTGGCTTTGCCAAACACTTCCTATGGGACCCTCATTTATTGAGTAAACGAGACAAATATCCTTGTTTGTCTCCCTCATTTCCAGAATGGGATGACCCTCTTCTCACAAAAGTGCAAGATGGCTTAATTCCTTAAATGTGCAACTCCTCCCGAAGGCTTTCCGTGTTCCTTAGATAAAAGTTGCTAATGTAACACTGAGTGCCAGTAGGATTTTTAAATTGTAAATTTAATGAGTCATCAAAGAACTTTTAGAAGGTAAAAAAAAATGACAATCAAGTGTGAGCCTTGTTTCTGAAAACATCTCCACATATTTCTTGACACATCTCAGTGTAATAGGCTCTCCCAGGATACAAACAAATGTCATGGATCCTGGGATATATCATTTTGTCCCAGGACAAAGTACCTTTCTCAAATCCATGGCCATTATCCATGTCTGTTGTCTTGGGAGAAATCCTAAAAAGGTTCACATGGTAAGATTTATTAATGGTTATCCCAGGACATTGCACAGTACATCTAAACAGTTTTTCTGGTA